AAAATGCTCACTAAAAAACAAACTAGGAATAGTACATTTTTGCAGGAAAGATTAGATATGGCTAAATCTGGAAAACTAGAGTGTTAACGATAATAGCTACAACTAATTCATCAAAAAGATAAATAAATGCATTCACAGAATATTGGTATTATTGCAAAAAAAATGTATTAATAAACAGGAAAGAACTAATACTATAATAAATACTTTTTAAATATTTTGACAGGTTCAAAATATGTAAATTTACTTCTGATTATGCCAACATCAACTCAAAAGAATTCTGCACCAATATGAATATTAGTATTAAGTCAAGTGACATGACACTCAGGTACTTCCAGTTCCTAGTAGCTCTGTGACAGAGCTGAGAAAATACCTTTACAAAAAGAAGCAAAACAACGGTGAACATTGGTGAAGCCTTTTGGCATTTTTGCCAAGTTAAAGAGGCAAAGGGGATCAGAGGGCACACGGAGGTTACAGAGTGGTTAAGGTAAGTTTACGGAACTGTTAAGTTAAATGTTTGGTTATGTTAGCACTAACAAACTGGCTGACAAACAGTACTGAAGGAGAGTGGGTAAGCACAGGTGTGCCACTTTATAGCCAGGAGGAGTTCAAATTTAGCTATAAGCTTTAACTAAAGATAATCTGAACTATCTAAATAGTGTTCTTACCCACTTTGTAAACACCAACCCCATCCCAGTTACAGATTAGTCACAGTACCAGCACATTAATTTTTATTTTTATTTTTTTCATATTTGGTAAGGGTGCGACAGCAACTGCATCCACTTCTCTGAACTGAGTAAAAATGCTGTTACCTTCAATAATATAACTCAGGTACTGAGCCTTTTACAAGGAGATGGGACATTTCTTTGTATTAATATTAAGCTTTGCATTTGTGCAAAACATGTCTTAGATGATCCTCCCATGTACAACTGACCGTTAATCTGTGCAATACCCTTCATACTCTAAATGACATTAGATCCTTTAAAGATTCTGTCAAAGGAACCTGTCAATGCTAAGCTTGCTGAAGGGTGCTAACGTGATGCTACTACATAATTGTGCAGCAAACACAACAAGTACTGCAAATGAAAAAAATGGCAAGAAACACAAACAGATACACTAGCAAACATAAAAATGAGAATAACACAGAAAGGAAAAACTGCTGCAAGTAGAAAAAAGAAAGCAACAAGTTAGTGTAAGAAAATATGCAGCTTAGGTCTACTAGGTCGAGTTTGCCTAGGTTGACAGTTTTGAGAACTTTTCATTTCTCAATCAATCAGTTAGTCAATCCCTGCCATCAGATACGGGTTGGAAGCAGACAGAAATTAACTGAGAAATATTTGCACAAAATCTAAGATTAGAATCAATCTGGTTTGAACAAATCCCAACCATTTTAAATTAGTTAAATACAAAATTTGACCTTATTCCAAATTCTAAAAGGTAAACTTTGGTTCGCAAACATAAAATCCATACTAACCTATGACATTATTGCATCATTTTACGGTAATGATTTCCAGCCATTTCCTGTTGTGCCTATTCCTTTTAGTTGCTTACTAGCTTAAATGAGCTTTAAAAAGCTTTAAAGCTTTTAAACTGAATATGTTTAAACTGAATTTCAATTAATTTTCTCAATAAATTAGGATATTTAAATATAATTTGTTGTGATGTATTCCTTTTATTCCATTCCATGTGTGCAGAGTTTGGTGTCTGAGAGTGATTGAGCTTAATTTTACTTTTATATCTGTTGTCTTTTATCTGTTATATGCAGACAGCCTGTCGGTGCAGTTTGTAGCACTGTTGCCTACTGTGCTAAACCCTTCCTCTAACTTCTACCTCCACACATGTATTGCTCAAACCAGGCAGAGTTCAGAGATTTCTAAACCTAATAAATATTGCCCTGCTTAGAGTCTTCTCCGATAAGCAGTCAACAGTTCGTCTATTTCACCTCCTTTTATAGAGTTTCTCGTAGCTGACAGAAATCTGGTATTTAATTAATGATCACTTTTACATGTTGTTTTCTTCCTTCTAATGTTTGATGTTAAAAGTACTTCTCTGTTTTTCAATTATTGATTGATTAAACATCCTCTTTTCTTCTTTAGCTTTCCCTCTCCCATGTCCAGTAAATGCTTTGTCCATATCGTCCCCCAAAATTCTCATCTCAACCAACTACAATACTTTTTTTTGTATTGTAGTTGGTTGAGATGTTGTTTTTTTAAACAGTTTGTACATTTCAAAACTGCATCTCATTTACAGTATAAGGTTACAGTTTCCTTTATTTACAACAAATCTATTTCTTCTTTAGGATCACATCTTTATTGTTATTACTGCTCACACACGTAGAGATTACAGCCAGTTACAAAAGATCAGCAATGAGATAAGATACATTAGCAGCATGAATATGGTAAACATCAACTATTGAAAAATACATCCCTAGGAACACAAATGTAATTACTTCCTTAATATAACATAGCTATCCAGGGTTTATCCTCAATAGGCTTCTTTTCTAGTTGCTGATATTGCTGTCCTCATCACTGACTTCAGTTTACACAGCAGAACACAGTTTAATAGACATCTTTGTTTACTTTGCTTTAAAATGACCTGTTTTTTTTCACGCAAATGGCCTGCTTTATTGGTTTTATTTTGTCTTTTTATATGTCTTATAGCAGCCCTTTCCTGTGTGCTTAACTTGATGGCATGTAGAACAGTGACTTAGCTCACATGAATGCATCTTTTGAAGATTAACAAGCTGAGAGGACAGCTTCAGCCAGCTTCTCTGCTGCTTCTTTGGAAGCAGAAGCTAATCTCTGAAATCCCTGGTCAAATGGTGTTTATATTCAAAGAAATTAAGATTTACACTTGTCTATGGATTTTGAAGTAAAACATACATTATATTTTTCTCTAAACTAGGACTGAATTCTCCCCTATTGATCAGCTTTGCCACTACTTAAAGAAGACAAAAAAAACGTTATATTTTAATTACGGTAGTCATTTGCTTTGCTTGTAATAGTAATGTTATGAGATAACCCGAGGCTTTGTTGCATGTCGAGTAACTTAGCAAGTACCAAGGCTTGTTTCATTCAAAGCCTTGCTACCTAGCTGTACCTTGCAAAAAAAGAAGTTTAGATTCTCCCTGAGAGTTGACAAAAAGCTAAATGGCCTCAGTATTCAGTCTGAGGGTTTGTTGCAGAACTACTGTTAATTCATGTTTTAAAAATATTTTTTAAAATGTGGATAACAGAATTTGTATATAGTGTGGATAGGTTACAGATTATTTGAAGAGTTTAGGTGAGAAATGGAGATACAGTAGTATGGAGATTGAGGAGTGAGAAGGTAGGGAAGAAGATTTCACCTATATGGGAGTATTTTGACCAGATTTCATCCAGTAGGCCTAAGGGAAATCTGAGACATTTAGGATTATTCAATTTACTTATCAAGAAGTATAATTGTTACTATTTTGCAAGCATATTCAGTGAGAGTGCCCTTTGCTGAAGCAATTATCTCAAGTGCTAACTCTGAAATGTCAACTGGTTGAAAACAGTCTTAACCTAGCTCAGATTCTTTAGACTTAGACAACTTTTATTTTCATTTTGTACACACAGTGTGCACAAAACGAAATTTCATTTTATACAGCTTCCATGATATTTCCATTCCTTAAAGTGCAGCAGTGATCAAATGTAAACAGTGTAGGAGTAAACAGTTTAGTTACCTCACGTCATTGATCTTATTTTTTATGGAATCAATGTTATTTATAAAGAATCCTTTTAAAATCATTAGTGCTAAGAGCAGGTAGGAGGGACAGTCAACAGAGCTATGGCTCTGGGTGAGTTTGGCAGCTGTATTAAAAAAGAAACTTAAAAGAAAAAATTAATGAGGAAAAATATGCTGCCCTTGCTTTATGAAGGGTCCTTTTTTGTAAAAGTAAACTGTTTTTCCAGACTTGTAGGATGCCCGCAGGCACATAGAGTGCCATTTTCTGTCCAGTTTCATAGCATTTTGCTTCATAAATCAATTTGACTACCACAAATCAAGTCATTAACCAACAGACTTTTTGAAGAAACAGATCATGTGTTAAAAAAACAAACACTAGTTTTAACTTGTTCCCTAATTGGATTTATTTTTGTATTTTAATTCGATTATCGTGATTTACTCCTTTAGGATTATTTTTTTATTCATTTTATTTAATTGTTGGGCAAGACACTAGCCGTTTCTCAATATGTGTACTTGTGCGTTCTCATGTGCTCATGTGCTCAGGAAAGGTCATCAGCCTCAACCCAGGTATTGTTCCAATTCACAAGAACACAAGACAGAGAATGGACAAAGTCCCCGGATGTTATTGTCGCACCTCCCTCTCACCAAGTATGCATCAGAACAGACTTGTCTGTTCTCGAGATTGACAGCTGTCCCTGCATGCAACGCTGCAGCAGCAGCTTCCTATGGAGCGCTCACAGAGCTCAGAGTATTAAGTTAAAAGCTCTTTTTTCTGTTGTTGTTCTTCTATAAAAATTAAGTTTTGAGATCTTTTAAGGAGAGAACGTTATACCTTTAAGCTTCACTGTTTGGCCCATTTTCTCATTTAGTGCGGGATTTAAAAAAAAGTTCCAATGTTGAGAGGACCATGGCTACCAGCGAACCTCCGAGGCTAACCTCAGCCAGGGATATCCTTAACCCGCCTGGAGTCAGCCCTCTTTCGGCAAATGTATGAAATACAGCTGGCTCTGATGCTGATTTTTTTGTTTTATTTGGCAAAATGTTAATTTGATTTGTGTTAATCTGACTTTGTTAATCATTATTCCCAAAATAAATGAAAAAAGTAAGAATTTATTATTATCTAGGGATTATTAATAAAAGGAGATGAAATGCAGCTCCAGACGAGCCGAGTGTTTTGTGATGTCACAAGTACGCTTCTGTTTCAACTGACCCATATTTACGCTTCATGCTCCTGTCCTCCCCAACTCCATACTTTCCTGTGTTCTTGTCCAGAACATACTTGGCAATAACACAAATCAGTACGCGCATTCTTGCGAATTGAGAAATGGCCACTGTCTGGATAGAGTATGAGTGGGCAACAATAGCGAAGCTGAAGCGTGAATAGCAATCTTACTGCATTTAACGTGTTCTGGCCCCCGGCAAACATTTGACTATGGTCCCTGGTGTCTCTAATGCCACATTTCTGACTTTGGAGCTGCCAATTACCAGAATGGGCTTCCCGGTGGGTGCATCACTGAGCGGCCAAAATGGATAAAAACGTGGACGGGTTAGTGGTGACCAGTGGGCAGAGATTCACGACTATGCCGTTACCCAGTCGACTGGCTGCTCAGGCATTGATGGAGGACCATTACGTGGGGTTATCCCTGGTCTTGGTCATCAACTATCCAAAGCCAGGACTCTTAACTCTAATACTACATTTATTACACAAACCATTATCACTAAAGGAGGCAGTGGAATTACTGAAGATCCACTACAGAGAGCAAAAGAAAGGCATGGAAGGTTAGAAAGAGACAGAAAAGAATCAGGGGAGAAAGAGAAGGAAGCCATGGCAGTTTTAAGATAGAGCTAGCCTAGGCTACCTATTCCTTACTACTAGTAAAACTGTGTGAACCACGTACCAAGTAGAAAAGCGCAGCAGTAGAAGCTGTGTTTTAAAATGCTTCTGGAAAGTTAGAGTAAGCTAACAAAAGAACTTAGTTCAGATGGAGATAGCCTGAACAGCACCACCGAAGCTCAGCAGTAAAATAGGATGTTAACAAGATACATCTCACCAACAGCAGTAGCACCCTCTTGTGGCAAGTAAACTCTGAATAAAACTTCAGGGGTTGTTCTGCTAGAGTCTGGTGAAGTGGGCGTACACTGGATCCACAGATAATATGGCATTGTAACAATGTTGGCAGTCATTGGCTATTTGTGTTAGACTGACCAAAGGTTGATTGGCTTATGTTCAACTCAGTAGCAGATAATTCAATAAACTGGGAGTCAGACTTTTCTATCTCCACACATATATAAGGGAGAACGTTTGCAGCAGCCAGACATACAACAAACTACTTGAGAAAAGGTACGCCACATTTATTTCTACTTTAGGATATATATTTTTTTCAGCTGCTGCCTTTAACTGAACAACCTTTAATTTTGACTTCTAAAACATCTAATATAACTTTTTATAGTTTTTACATTAACCTGTTCTATATTTTCAGATCAATCTGGAAAAAAAAGGCTTTATCCAGCAGAACATGGCTCAGCTGACAATTCTTGCTGGTAGGTAATTTATTGTATATCATAATTTATTGTGTTATTTAAGTTTAAGATAAATAAAGCTGAGTTGTTGTTTTTTTCAGGATTGTCACTTCTGGTGTGTCTTCAAACTGGTATGAATGATTATTTTTGTTATGTAACAATCTCAGAATACAAATTTAGTTCTAATCTCTTTCTTTTTTTTATAGTTTCTTCCACCAAACTGGTGTGCTACTTCACCAACTGGTCCCAATACAGAGTTGGAGTTGGTAAATACACCCCTGAAAACATCGATCCAAACCTCTGCACACACCTCATCTACGCTTTCTCAGTAATCAATCCCTCCAATGAACTATCTACTTTTGAATGGAATGATGATGTTCTCTATAAATCCTTCAATGCCCTGAAGAACAGGTGAGCTAATTATAAACTTTAGTGTTTTGTGTGAAATCACTGATGAGGAAACCTATGTGAAAGTTGTAAGGTTTTCATGCACTGTTTAGAACATAATGTCAGATCATGGTTATATATTCAGATAGAATGCAAGGTTTAATTAACAAATTTAAATGATTTATACACTTTATGTATTTATACATCTCTAAAACAGAAATCCCAAACTGAAAACTCTGTTAGCTGTTGGTGGGTGGAACTTTGGAACAGCTCAGTGAGTAAAAAAAACTGCAGATGCTTTTCTGCATTTCTTATTTACCTAAATTATATAGCTATGGACATATGTGTTTATTTACAGATTCACCCTCATGACCTCATCTTCAGCCAACCGTCAAGTCTTCATTCAGTCTGCCATCAAATTACTGAGACAGCATGGCTTTGATGGACTGGATCTGGACTGGGAGTACCCTGGATCACGAGGAAGCCCTCCTGAGGACAAGAACAGGTTCACATTGCTCTGCCAGGTTAGAAATATTTCCTCCACTAATCTGTCACCTGCGGATGAATCTGCCACATGTTAATGTCACTGAATATTGCAGGAAAATCATTGATCAGAATTTCGGACAAACTTCCACACCCAAGTGTTTTGCTGTCAGTGTTACCTCCAAGTTCTTACAAATTGGAAAAAAGATTTGATTTTTAAGATTGTGACTCACCTATTAAGGGAAACTTGGGTCAACAGCTGATCTCAAAGCATTTATACTTCATGGTCAAATTTTGGAAGCAGCATAAACACAGAAAATGTCCTTTTTTTATTTAGGAATTACTTGCTGCCTTTGAAAAGGAAGCAGCTGATACCAACAGGCCAAGATTGCTGCTCACAGCTGCAGTGTCGGCGGGAAAGGGGAATATTGATAAAGGCTATGAGATTGCTGCTGTATCAAAGTAAGTTAATGAGATGTAATGCTACAATATCATATTAATCTGAGTTTAAAACAAACAAAAAAACTGAATTAAAAAAAGCAAATTGTTTAGCCAATTATTTAGAATATTAATTCTTAGCAGATAAGAAAAAAATACCATAATGTTTTTTTTTTATGAAAAAATACACTGAATGCCATTCACTTTATTTAGCTTCTTATTTTCTTGCAATATTGTTGTATCTAACAGGTATCTAGATTTTATAAGTGTCATGACCTATGATTTCAATGGAGCTTGGGATGCATTCACTGGCCACAACAGCCCACTTTACACCCAATCAGGCCTTCTTGGTGACCAAGTCTACAACAATGTTGTAAGTGAAAAGAAACCCAGGCAAGTTACATGTTTAGTAACAGCATTGTATCTTCAGTTTTACATGTGATCTTTATTTTCGTCACAGGACTCTGCCATGAAGTACTGGAGAGACCAAGGAGCTCCTTTAGATAAGCTGCTGGTTGGTTTTCCCACATATGGGCGCACATTTCGCTTATCAACAGCAGCTACTGGTGTTGGAGCACCGGCCAGCGGGCCTGGCTCTGCTGGGCCCTACACCAAAGAAGCAGGAATTATGTCTTACTATGAGGTAATAATTCTTATTTTGCATAGGTAACCAAATTACTAATTTAGGCTAAGAAATAATTTATACTGAAAACCAAAACAACACATCGGATAGTGCCTAAATCTCAGAGCATTGGTTTATAACTACAGGTTTGCGCTTTCCTTAATGGAGCCACCACACACTGGATTGAAGAGCAAAAGGTACCCTATGCAGTCAAAGGCAATGAGTGGGTGGGATTTGACAACAAACAGAGCTTTGAAATCAAGGTAATGTATGAAATCCAAAAACAAATAACAGCTATAATATAAATTTGTCCTTTACAGTGTTTGAGATTGTCTTTTTGAATTAAAACATTATGTGCATTTGATATTGATACAGATATTAAACACACGTACGTTTTAGTTATTAAAATTGTCCAGAGGATGGCACTATAGTTACAATATTTCAGATATAACCCCTGACCTGATATGTTTTACCACCTACTGAATAGGTTAGTGATTAAGGTTTTACCCAGAAAAGGTGGATGCAACCTAGGGATCCAGAGACTCAAGTGGCTCCTTGGACTTTACACGATGGCTCTTCATAGCATTTACTAAAAATGAAAAGAAGTCAACAAATAGTTTTAAATGAAAAGTAGATATAACAAATTCAGGTTCTGACAAACTTTTCTCTTAGAGTGATTTCATAAAATTTCCATCCGGCTGACAGTAAAAATACCTGGAATATCTTTAAGATCTATTTTATGTTTTTCACCTGGCTTAGAAACATTTTGCTTTACTAATAGATAATAGTAAAAAAAAGGAAATACTCTTACATTTTATTTTATTTTTATTTTTTTTACCTTATAGTGGAAATAAGATTAACAAAAATGATCTTTAAAGATGTAGATGTCTTTAAATAAACAGGTGTTTCCATTTTTTTTTAAGTTTTTATTTGGCTGAACTGAATGGGGAAAATGACTCTTTGGGTTGTGAAGGTTGTTGATCTAGAATAACAATCAGGCCAATCAATCAAGTTTTTCAGAACTCATCAGCCAAACTTTGCAAACACTCTTAACCACTTATGTTTTCTACAATGGTTCACAGCAGATCTTTAGAATTCAGTTTATAGTGCGTGTATTCACCTCCAGGGCACATAATGGCCATTCATCTGAAATTTGTTATTTTTCAATGCCTTTTTAACCACGCAATGCATCTTGCATTCTTTAATCCTTTCAGCCCTACTTAGCCTTTCAGTCTATGGCTGCTAAACCACTTTTGAACCAATTTGCTCTCTATGTCATTTGCTTAATGTGCTTCTTTATATCTATTTTTAGGCTGTGTACACATTAATTGTGATTTATATTGTACAGAATTCTGTATTATAAATAGACTATACTTACTACCGATACATGTATTAGTGGTTTCTCATCTTTATGCAGATGAGTAACCAGCTTCTATTTCTTGCCTTCTTCTCTTGACCTAAAAAACACTGTGACAAGTGATTTTTTTGTCCTGGTGTGTTTCATTTTGATTGTAATTTTGAAAAAAAAATTATAATCTGTATTTTTAATGGCAACTTTTATATTTTCTAGGCACAATATGTCAAAGATAACAAATATGGGGGAGCATTTGTCTGGTCTCTGGCTCTTGATGATTTTGCTGGACAGAGCTGTGGTCAGGGACCCTATCCCCTCATTGGTTATCTCCGCTCTCTTTTGGACTCGGGTAAACAATATTAGTCAATGTTATTCCCCATAAGGACATAAAATATCCTTTCTTTTACTTTAAAGATGCTTTATTCTCTGTTTTTAGATAACCAAACAAATGCACGGGTAACAACAACACCAAATGTTACCCAAATCCTCCCTTCAACAGCTGCCGGGACGGCCCCTACCACAGCTACCACAAGTGTTGTTTCGGGGAACAATTTCTGTGTTGGAAAGATTGATGGGATTTACAAAAATGATGATGACAAAAACACCTTCTATCAGTGTGTCAATGGAAAAACATATACGCAGAGATGCCCTTCTAATCTGGTTTACAGTGAGAAATGCTTATGCTGTGACTGGCCCTAAATATATCATATATCAACGACGCTGTAATGTCAGTTTGTTTTATGAAGACAACGGGACTTTTCCCCTTAAAATAAAATACTTTGATGTGCATGTGATTTGGCCCATTTTTTTGTGAATTTAATGTTGGATTAAATAGCTTTGGTGTTGTAAGTGTAGCTTTATTTACAAATAAAAGCAGTTAGTGTATTTTTTTCAGATCAGAAAAGACCCAGGATGTATCAGCTGCATTTTCACTGTTATTAAATTATTTGGAAAATCTGTAGATATACTTAGAAATGTTTTTAAAGAACGAAGATTTTCTTGATCAAACAGAGTCAGTTATGGAGGTTTGGGCAGTTTATAAAGAACCCTTATCAAGGCTAATGTGTTGATCTCTTTTAAAAGATGGATGGGAACTACAATAGAAATCTTCAACAAGTCACTGGAGCAATGTAACATGCTCTCCTATAAAAGCTCCACCTTCACACATTAAATGACTACAGACCATTAACCTTCGTAGTCCTGACTGAATGTAACATTTCTTAATTTTGTGGCCCCTTTCCTTGAGATGAAGGTGGATTCCTGAATCCAAACAGTGCCATATACTTAGCTTGTGTTAATGCTTGTTTTTAGACCACCAAAAAGAAAATTTTTGAGAGGAGTCAAAGAGGCCATTTACATCAAATATCCCTAACCAAGGGGGAGGACTTGGATTTTTCTTGTCCTTTGCATAAAGCACTTCACTAAAATTCCAAAACATTCCAAAGAAATGTCAGGGAAACTGAAACCTCTGGTTATGTGATTAGTATCCAAACCTTGAGAGACTGTCAGCAACATTACAAAGGATAAGCAACACAGTAATTTGCATGTAAACTTAACCCAGCAGCTTAGAACATGGCTATTTCTTCTTGGCTATTGCTTGAACTGGTCAAAATAAAAATAAAAATTTCATCAGAAAGGTTGTTTTGCATTATTTCTACATGGAAGCCAAAATACAGTCATAACAATAAACATATATACAACCCAATAAAACTTTTCTACAGACAATTTTTTTCATATCTTAGTTTTGCTTGAGAAAGCATCCGTTTTATCCTAATTTAGTCTAAAACAGCATCCTTATAGCCTATAAGCACTGGAGAAAACAAGTTTATTTTAATTTTCTACCTTAAATAAGATTAACTTTATTACTCATCACATTTCCTGAGATGCAGATGTGTCTGACAATCTGGCAACAGTTCATACATAAGACACAGAATTGAAAGGTGCCTTTATTATTTATTGAATTTATACAGTAGAAGACAATTTGCTAAGCCCATAACAAGGTCTTATAGGAATTTTAAGTTACTCACCAGCTAATTCAATTAGCTTTAAGTGCTAATTGTATTAAACTTTAGGTATAAAAGCAGGGTGGGTTTGTGCAAAAGTATTCATTCCACCTTAAATGTTTCACATTTTGTTACATTGGAACAATAAACCTGAAATAATTCTATTACGATTTCGTGTCATACACAAATGCTATTTACAAATGGAAACCTGAAAGCAGTCACATGCCTTTGTTCATAGCCCTGTTAATGATTTTTTTTTTTCTCAAATAAGATAAAAACATCTGTGAACAAATAGTATCACAAGACCAAGGAAGACAAAGGGGAAAGATGAGGTGATACAGTCAGTGAGAAACTGTTGCACCCGAGACACAAAAAAGAGCCATCACACATCTGTCCCTCCAGCTGCTCCTGGACTTATCAATTTTAAGTGCCCCAACAGGTCTAATAACTTCAATTCAGTTTATGTATATAAGGGCGATTCACAATATGACATCTCAAGGCGATTTACAGAGACAGCTTAATCAGATAATACAGTGAGATTTGTTCAAAGTTTTCTAAAGACAACCAGCTGATTGCATCAACATATAGACATGAAAGCAATCCCTCACACAAAGCATGCTTGTAGCAAGAGTGGAGAGAAAAAAAAAATTCCCTTTGAACAGGAAGAAACCTCCAGCAGAACCAGGCTCAGTGTGAGTGGCCATCCGCCGAGGCCGACTGGGGTTCAAGGAGTCAGAAGCAGACATATAGAAAGAAGCAAACTGGCAGTTTTTTTTACTCTGCCAGACAATAAAATTTTATTAATAGCCAGTTTTAAAGTATTTTATATGTCTTAGGTACATATAAGCTTTTTCTTTACTGTAGCACTGAATTTAACATCCCACATAATATCCACAATTGCCTAGTTACCTTGAATATTTAACCTAAGATGACCATTAAAAAACCAAATATGACTATCAGAAGGGATATTTACATCTGTACATTTTGTAGTTTGACTAGCGGTGCAGAATTTACCCTCCACCTTGGTTTATCCTGATAAATGTAGAGGTTTTGTGCAATTATGGATTTGACCAAAATACATGCAAAGACTTTAAAGTCCCTTTTTCAGCACAATCTTACCATATTCTGATTTTAAGAGGATATGATAAAACCCATAACAAATGGCTAAGCTCTACAAGATTATGGATTTGTCATAAACATTATTAACTAAAACATACAAATTTTACACTCAGTTTTCAGAGTCTGCAAATAAAGAAAATACCGTGTGTCTAAAAAAGTGCAGCAACTTAGAATTATGAGATAAGTGCTTTGGTTCCATCATGAGCTCAAAGGTCCACATACCATCATTATCTGTTTTATGTGGATGTTGCAATAGTGTCCTTAATCTGATAAAACAGCTTATCTGCGTTTAAAGCTATCAAGATGTTTTCACAATTGTTTGAATTTTCAAGGCATCCATAAAACCATGATGAGCCAATTCTAACTGATCTTTATTTCTAAGGAGTCCATAAACAATGATTTTTTTTTCTGCATAACAACACAGCAAACTGGTAATGATAAACGTACAAAAACGTGATCAAGTATAATATGTGGTTTTAACATGGGTCATGAACAGAACATTTCCAAATACCAAACTTTTTTGAGGGGAACTAAAGCATGCAGTGAATCTTTCAAAGAAAGTATCATGGTAGAAAAAATAAAATAAAAACAATCATAATATGTATTTTAAGGCATTAGCATCATTATACAATATCTGACAAATACTCCACAGAATGCAAATAAACCTACTTTTGCAAACTCAAATTGTATTTTATTGATACATTGGGAAATTTCTCTTTAAACAAAAACAAAATAACAAGAAAATCTGCTCATAATTAGAAATTAAATAAACTTATAACATAAGCATAGTAATAGATAGTGCAATCTCAGTTCATTCCAGAGTAAATCAATACATAACTCAATGAATAGTTCTTTCAGTGGATTGTACAAGTCTTTGGTCAAAGTAAAGCAGCGTAACATTATGTAATTTATAAGTAATGCTCTCACATTTTTTTTTATTTAAAATTAGTTCACAGCAGCAATGTCATCTGTTTGATCAAACTCCTCCAAAAACAAAAGATCATAAACCTTTCTTTTTTAAATTAAACTACAAGTTCATCCAAGAGCCCATTTAAAACACCTCAATTCAACTGACTCGACCAATAGAAATGCAATTATTTATTTTTTCAATCTTCAAGTCTACCCAGTAATGTTCATGTAAAATTATTTTTGCATCATTTGTAAACTCAGGATATAATAAAGCATTCAGCTAAACAGCTGCTTAGAGTTCATGAACAGAGCTGTGTGGATCAGGAAGCTTCTTAATGTCACAGTTTTGAATCAGATTAAAATAAAACACAATGAGCTCCTCATAGTTCTTTTTGGAAATCCTTTCGTTTATCCCATGAAACCTGAAAAGTAAAGATAAGAGAAAACAGGTTTGTTAATTAGAAAATTCCTTGTTATAAGATCCACTGTCTATTATTTCTGGATAAATGCTTTGTGTCATTAAAACTGAAGAAGTAAAGGAAAAAATATCCGTACAGTGTTTGCTCAGTAAGGATCTAAACCCCCCTCACATTTATAAATAATGTTTTTAATATAAACAAATGAGTTTATGTCAAAGGGTCCTTTTTGTTCTAAGGTTCAGATCATTTTAAGTTCTTACCTTTGAACGTCACCTGGTTTAAACCAAACTGGAGCAAAGCGATAAATATCACTGCTCAGGTCTTTGAAATGTCGACTGTCTGTGTTTCCAACACAAATACCTGAAAATCAAACAGTTTGTTTAGATATAAGTGCTTTTACTATGAAACTACATTGATCTGAGATTTACCTGGAGCAACTGTAAGTTTGGGAAACATGTCCAAAACTGTTTTCTTTATGATCTGAAAGCCAAAGGATTGCTCATCAGAAGAGCTAATGGGGAGTGGGTCAAATCCATCAATAAGCTCTACTTTCACTCGTTGGTCCCCAACCGTATCCTGGATAAAGTCTAAGACCTGGAAAAGCAGAACACAGTCTGTTCAACAGATCTTTACATACATAAGAAAGAACAGCAACATTTCTCTCCTTGCCTCTTGTAGTGAATGTGCAGAGTGGATTCGTAGATTTACAGTAGCCTCTGCTAGCGAAGGAATGATGTTGGACTAAAAGAACCCAGAATATTTTCATTTGAGATTGAAAAAAAAAAGTGAATTAATCAATTTAAAAAGAAGTTGCATACCTTAGTTCCTGCATTAAACATTGTCACGGCTGTGGTAGTCCTTACAAAAGCATTAGTGTCTGGCTTCATTTCCAGTACTCTGCAATACAAAGCACATCAATAAAAGAGCAGAGGCAGCAGACTGCCACCTGATCCACTTTACACCACAGCTTAAATATTGTTATTACCTGCCAAGGAGTGGGGAAAAGAGCCATAAGTTTGACATTATGAACTTCAGAGGAAGACCAAACTGAGAGAGAAAAAATAGAAATGTTTAAGAATGTGGAGACATCAGAAAACCTTGAGTTAGCAAGCATTGATTCCTCTTGCCTTGTGGGCCAGATGTTCAAAGGTATCACGTTCTGGACCATAACCAAATAACCTCGGCATAGGGTTGTCTTCAAGTCTGCAGAAATTATAAAACCAAAATTTAAACTATATAACTAGTTTCATACCAGAGAAACCTCTAAAATGATCAAAGAATTTTCCAAAGCAATAAAAAGCTGAAGAATAAGATGTCACACCTTTTGACAGCTGCAGCTAAGATCCCAATGCTGGACTCCCTGGGAGGCATCGAGGAGTGA